TGCATAAATAGTAATCCGCTCGCAATGCATCCGAAAGAATAGTGCAATGTTTCCAGTTCACCCTGTGTGAGGAGACCGTGATGAGCCTTCAGAAGGAAGATATCCAGCGAACCGGAATCGGCGACTGGTGTTAGTAAGATGCCTACTTCACGCGTCCCTACGTAGGTCGCGAAAATCCGGGTGATATGATGATTTGGAGCCAGACGCCGGATGACTTTGATCTCATTATCGAAGATTCGTCTCCTCTCGGTAGGAGAGCCATAGATCCCATACACCTTGTGAGCGAAGACCCTGCCAGTGTGGTCCGCAACCTCTTCCACATTGGCACAACCACCCTGTCCTAAATTGCGGAGTTTCAGGAGGCGCAGCTCTTCGTTTGGCTCAAGTAGGTAATCCTGACCCTCTTCGATTTGTATTATTCGTTTGTAGCTACCGTCGTCATTCTTTTCAGGCAGAGAGCATGCGCGCGTCTCCTTGGGCTGATACCCGTGGTCGGGGGACGGAGGGCGTGGACGACTAATAGAGGTCAGCCTGCTCGCTAGACAAATCGACAGTCATGTCTCAATACGCTCACAATTGCAAGTCACCGCTAGGCCAGCGGCTCCAATGGCAATACATACCGGCGCCTCCGACGGTACTCCATAGATACACTAAGCCGTGATGGTGTTCTGTAGGTAGGTAAAGTCGGAATCTGCAGCAACTATGGGAGTTCACCTCACCAAATGACGAGAAAAATAGGTATTTCCACGTTCTTCAGAGGGCGGAAAGTGAAGCATGCAGTTGAAGTTGAGAGGGCTGGCTTACGCCCGAATGCATGGCGCAGGCTGAGAGCTGCGTAGGCGATTGGCCCCAGGTAGATGCACTGCCTACAACCACGTCGGCAATGGCGATCGATTTTCAAGTAGACCTACAAATACTGCGGCGGAGCCAATCCCTGGAAAATGACACTTTAGAGGTTGCATGAGTTGTATCTTGAGCAAGATGAAGTATTAGGGTTCGGATTCGTCGAGGAGAAGGGTGGCGTATGCAATACGCGACCGAACAGAATCCGATTAAATTCCAACATCGGTGCGACAACTCGCCAGCCAAGAGAGGCTTATATGCTATTTATCAGTATTTCCATCCGTAGTTGGTTGTCATGAGGGTCAATGGAATGGCAGCGCGGCGAGCCTCGCATGTTTCGTAGCGTGGCTGAGTAAGCCCACTTGGATTCCGAGATAGCCTCGGCGGGCGCGTCAATCCTATCCTCTTGATGTAACACTGCCTGGCCCTTTTGCAGTCCAATGAACTCTACGAGCGCGCCGACAAACTCAACATATCGGAGTGCCTCCTGTTGATGCCTAGTCTGAAGATGCCGAAGAAGATACGCGTCATGATTGCTGGACCCTGAGCCCATAAGGTTTGATAGCTACGTCAACGCACCCGAAGTCAACCCGCAGCTATGCCCCGATGTATATTACACCCCTCACCAACTCAACATCACGCCCGCAGTTTCCGCCTTACTCTCACGTAGTCAATTGAACGATATCTCGAAGCCCCCATCCTCAAAGCGATCCAGAAGCCGCCACAATGTCTTCTAACTCGCTCAACTACCCGCTCCTCGCTATCCCAGCCTACTACGTCTTCTCTCTCGTGCCGCACATATACGCAGCTAGCCTTCTCACAGCCAACGGCTACAAGATCAACAACGCGAACCCCAAGGCAGCGTTGTCACCAGAAGCCGTGAAGGGCAAGGTTCCCGATGCTGTGTAAGGCGTCCCCACTCTCCCCACCCAAGATCCCTTGCTAGTACGATACTAACACATCCACAGCTTCAAAAAGTACCAACGCGCCGAGAACGCTCAGTCGAACAATATGGAACAAATGCCCCTCTTCGCCGCCGCCGTTATCGCTAGCATCATTGCCGAACGCACCACCGCAACAGGAATAGGACGAGAGGTTCTCTCAGGCGATGCAACGGGCTTGACAACATTTGTCACAGCTTGGTTCGCAGTCAGGGCCGCGTACTCTCTGGCATATGTACAAATCGCGACTTACTCGAAGAGCATGATTAGGAGCGGCCTTTGGGCTATTGGCACCGGGCTAGCGATATACCAAATCTACAAGGCTGCCGCGATCTTGGGCTAGAGATCATGGACAATAAAGCGATATGGTAAACACGACAGATACGACAAGAACAACACGGACCAAGAAAACGAGTGTTAGGACTATCCTTAGAAAATCGATGTGCAATGAGATCAATTACTACTCAATTCATGTGTGCTGATAACTAGGGACTTCCGAATTCACAACACCAGCGATCGACACTTGCCAGTGTAACCTCGCGTCGCCATCCCAAAACGAACAAGGTCCAGGCACGAACCCGCACAACGGTTACACGAGTATATCACGCGTGCTGGCGCAGTCACACCGGGATTGGCCTAGAACTCACGACGAAGTCTGTCGAATGTACGAGTAACACAATAAATCTGCAAGAGACTTTTGCAATTAGCCAGCGACCAAATTGCTACGCAGCTGTGTTTATATGCGCCATTGACTTCGACACCCCACGTCCACGACGCGACAACCCATCTTTACTGTATTCGCACACTCCGTTCTGTAGACATACTAGCCCACCTTCGATTACAGCATGGTTCACCTTACACCAGGGCTATCACTTCGCATTCACGCTTTGGCACTTTCATGTCTTTTGAGCTGTGTTGCGACGCAATCATATTCGGCTTCTTTCCTCTACCCCGAGTCCGCTTCTTCTGTCTTGACCATCAACGCCCATGATCAACTAAATGTCAAATGGACGTCCAACTTCGATCAGGCCTTCTTACATATGTGGTGCGACGATGACAGTGGGACTGGCGAACAGGCGCTATGTATGTCCTCACTCTTGTGTATACCCTCGGTTACCATTAGCCATAGCTAACGTGCCATGTGGCATGGAAGGGTTATCGACTGAAGTCAGCACTATCGGCAGCATAACATACTCGCCATCAGCCGAAAACCTTACTAGGCGTAACTGGAACACACCCGTCGCATGCCACTTCGACATCCTGCCTTTCGTAAACGACACGAATGAGCAGGAAGGCCCATTCCTCACAATCAAGTCAGACAGCGATAGCGCTCCAACTCTTTACGATCAATCGTTCACATCGCCGCTAGCTCCTACAACCAGTATGACGACGATGATCTCCCTGCCATCCTCTTTCGCTATTACTTCGTTGCTAGTCTCTAGCGTAACAACGGTATACGGTCAATCATCCACATCACTCATCGCATCTACTACTAGTTTGACGACGATCTCCATGTCGGTCTCTTCATCCACTAGTTTGTCGCCTGTATCCAGCGTAATAGCGGAGAGGGACAACAAGACACTCTGGGGTGATGCGATAACAGGAATAGCATTGGGCGCAGCATTCGCAGTGGTGGCATTAGTAACAGTAGGATGGTTCTTCTGCCGGTACCATCGGAGGATAAAGGTGTTAGAGACAAGAATGTCTGAAGCTGGCGGCCCAACGGGACATCCGTCGCATAGATCGATACCTATACTACCTGCGGAGAAGCGCGACAGGCCACAGGCTGAGTTGTCTGAATTGGTGGCATAGAATGCGGGAACCGATGTTTTATTGTTAAGAGTCGGACTGGCCGAATCTCAAACTTTGTCAGCGTTACCTCCCCACGCTCCATGTTCGCCCTCCGCCTTTGGCTTCCCTATCCTCTCTAGCTGCGCCTTCATGCCCGTACTCGTTGCCATAGTCTTCATGGCCTCATCACAGTAGTCTACACCGTCTCGGAAGTAGAAGTTCTTGCCGAAAAGCTCCACAGTCAGACCCCAGTTGTCCTTGCCCGCCACCTTCTTTCCGTTAGCGTCCTCAATGTCTCCTCCATCCACCACCTTGACCACCGCGTTAACGACTGTCTCCATGGGTGTCATGAAGCTCTCTGGGAGGGACCCCCATTCCTCTTCACTCAACAGGCCGGTGCGAACGATGCTTGGGCAGACCGTGAACGTCCTAATGCCAGCGTAGTGGTATGCTACTGTGATAGCACGGTTAAAGTGGATTACTCCCGCTTTTGCACCAGAGTACATGGGGCCGAACTCGGCTGGATAGAGTCCACCACAACTCGCAGTCATGACTAGGGCCGCGTCATTGTTCTCTCTGCCGTGCTTGGCCATGGATTTCCGGAAGTAGTGGAACGCAAGCCATGAGGTGTTTATCACTGCCGTGTAATTGACATCGACTACGAGGCTGTTTGGTGGTGGAGGCGGCGCGTCGAGAGCATGTTCTTCGTAGAAGTCTAGGTGTTGGCGATCAAGTCAGTTGATGTCTGATTTGCCATACGAACAGGATTGCTACGCACTGTCTTTTTCGGCGATGCCAGCGTTCGCGAAGACGAAGTCGAGACGACCTGACATTGACCATGCTGATTCGAAAGCTGCTACTAGCGAGGCGTAGTCGGCTACATTCGCCTGGTGAGCGTGCCCATTCTTGAGCGAGGACGTGGCTTTCGTGAGATTATCAGCGCTGAGGTCGACAAGGTGCAGGTCCCACTCTTCATTAGTACGAGCTGCGAGGGCTTCAGCAACAGCGAGTCCCATTCCACTAGCCCCGCCAGTAATGAGAGCTACTTTCTTGACCATGTTGAGATTGTTGAGTCGAGTAGATGAGATTCTTGTAGAGAGTGAGGAGGTGCCAAGGGCGACAGTGTGATAGTGAACAGCCAGCGTGTGAGTGTTGAAGATTGGATGGTTTGGGGTGCAAGAAGGAAGTCGTTGGAATTTATAGAGTATGCGTACGAGGGCGACCAGCGCGCTTGAAGAACTAGAAGGGCTGAAATGAATAGTACTAAGGTTGCGATATCCCTGCTCTGCATCAACATTCCACCGTAACAAGGTTGCGATATGTGCGATGAAGGGCACTTCTGCGAGCACGTGATGCCAAGGTACACGCTAGAGCCACTCCTTGTGTGCATCGGCGTGAGGACGCCGACGTCATTCTGACTCATTCTCACTCATTCAGCGCCGGCTTTACAATCGGCCGGTGGCTGAAGCGCATCCTCGCGTAGGCATCCGGGTCTAATGCGCGAATGTGCCCCGAGATGGTAGCAAATGCGGCGTCAAGGTTGCGCATCATGCTTTGGATGGCATCGTCAAGCGCCGGCTTTCTCGGACTAGACAATGCAGCGAGAAAAGGCGCCTTTTCATATTTAGACCAATACGCCAGTCAAATCTGTCTGAATAGGGTCCTTTCTTGACGAACTTAGGCCCGTACTTGGACTTCAGCAAGTGAACCCGACGTTGGTTGGGGAGGTCAAGAGGCAGACTGTCCCTTATGCTGTCCTGTGCAGACTTCTTCTCCACCCGACCGCGCTGGTAGTTATGTCGTCTCTCCTCCTTCCGTAGCTGGCGCTTCGACAATCTGCCGCCTTGGTTCGACATGCCGCCGTCAAACGTCTGAGCAGGGCCTCAAGCCTCGCCACGAGGACTAGAGTGTGGTGTTGTGGGCAAGGCGCAGGAACTTCGGTGGTGAGAGAACTGCGGGTCGGGGCCTGAGCGGCGGTCGTGGGAAAGCGACTGTCTCGAGTAGGCGTCGATGGTCAGGAAGTCACCATGGCGAGAGAGCGTCGTTGGTCAGGAAGCGGCAATCGCGGGTGAGCGTCGACGAGGGAGCCGCGAAGTTGATGGCTGGTGTCAGAATAACGCGCATCGTGGCGCTCTACTCTAATGGTGATCCTGCGACGTCTTGGGCTCTCGTCCATTTTTTGCTGACGAGTAGCATAGACGCGATAAAGGCGCGCAACTAGCGGGTGCGATCAGCGGATACATGCCAGCGGTGATGTCGCGGCTCCGGCGTTATTGTTGTGCGAATTGAGGGCGGGTTTGGCGGGCCAGAACAAACAACCACAATTGCGGTCGCATCACTCTAACAACCGGGCCATGCAGGCGCTGGCGAAAGAGCATGGACGCACATGACAGCGCGCGTTCGGGGCGGAGGTGTAATCGGCGTCAAGGTAGAGTCACGAAGATGTAGTCGGGAGGATGTAGGTGTGAAATTGATGATATAATCGCAGCGGCTGCCTGCTTGGCGCAACAGTGTTGTCAGATGTGCACGACGTCATTCAAGATATGATGCAGGTGTGGCTGCATGAGCAGTGTCAGAGGCTGCAGATAAACGAACGATTATTGCTAAAGTTCCATCCGAACCCAGTGTCTGCCAAAATGCTTTTGCACGCATACATGTTGGCATCGAGATGTCGCAAGCCAGCGTAAGCAGGGTGGAAAGGATAGGCTCGTCTATCCGTATCGAGTTGCGTTAGAGCAGCTAAATAACAAGACAGGATATCGGATAGACACGGTTTGAAAAGCTCGCAAAGGCTTTCCTGTGGAGGTATATTAGAGAAGACATTGAAGACATCTTGTTGAGGGAAGAGCGACTCAAGTCGCTCGTGCAGATCGCGCTGCACAACACCAGTTGTTTGGATCTTTCTAGGCATGGAGAGGCGGCCTTGCTCGCACCTGCGATGAACTGTCGCAAGCGATCGAGAGCCGCATGGCATACTTCTTAGATCAAGCAACGCGCAAAAGCATCAATTGAGGATAGCGCGACCAACAGATTCAAGATATTCTTCAAGGTAGGCCCGAACTTGAATCGTAAGTGTGGGACCGTTATCTCGGTCGTTCACGTCGGCAGTATTGATGCGCCCGGGTTCACGCATCCTAGCCCCCGCAGTATTTCTTCTGGAATCTCAACATCCCCGAAGGCTTGGTTCTGCATCCTCACTCGTTCGTTTTCCTTGTTCAATTCGCTGCAGCTGGTAATACGGAAAGAATGTTGTCGTCAACTCCCCTCAAGACAGCCGCATGGCTCGCATTCACAGCTTCTTTGAGCTCAGCCACACCCCAGTATGGCACTTCTCCAAAGGTCCAGTTCAAGCACTGGCCTGCTGAGGCAGCGACTGCCCTCTCCACCATGATCGCAAAGAACGCCAATCAAAGCAACTATGCGGTCTTCGACATGGACAACACCAGTTACCGCTACGATCTCGAAGAATCGCTTCTTCCTTTCCTTGAGAACCGTGGCATTCTCACGCGCGACAACTTGGATCCCACCCTCAAGTTGGTCGATTTCAAAGACACTGCAAACTTTACCGAATCGTTGTACAGCTACTACAACCGTTTGTGCGAGATTGACGACTTCGTCTGCTATCCATGGGCAGCACAAATCTGGTCTGGCTTCACACTACGCGAACTCAAGACCTATGTGGATGAGCTTATGGCATACAACTCATCCATTCCCACGAAGTACTGGGACGGTGACGAAGTCACATCCAGCAGCGTAAACCCGCCGAAGGTGTTCCGGGGCCAGGTCGAGCTCTACAATGCTCTCATGGACAATGGCATCGCCGTCTATGTTATAAGCGCTGCGCATGAGGAGCTTGTCCGCATGGTGGCCAGCGACCCGAAGTACGGATACAACGTACCACCTCAAAACGTCATTGGTGTTACCACCGTCCTGAAGAACGTTACCTCCGGCGAGCTCACCAACGCTCGCAAGCAGATCACAGAAGGAACCTACAACGAGACCGCTAATCTCGACCTGGTCGTGACTCCGTATCTGTGGACACCTGCTACATGGTTTGCCGGAAAATGGGCTGCTATCCTTACCTACATCGATCAATGGAAGCGCCCCATCTTGGCTGGTGGTGATACTCCCGGAAGCGATTCGTACATGCAATTCCACGGGGTCGACACAGCAAAGGGTGGTGTGCATCTGTGGATCAACCGTAGAGACGCGTACTTTGAGCAACTGCAAGAGGAGATCAGGAACAACACTCAGGCGCAAATTGCTAATGGGAGGGAGGTTACGGCGGACAAGAACTGGGTTGTTGTCAAGCCCGAGGAGATTCTGTAAATATGTAATGCAAAGGTGGAGAGGCAGAGATGCGATGAATAGTGGCGGATGAATGGTAGCCCGCACTCCAGGGCTGCCAAAGAGACAAACCACGCTAGTTGACGTAATTGCTCGGCTAAGCTTTCTTCCAGCCCGCTTTTAGTCTTCCCCTTCTCGTGCCTGTTATCGACGCATCAAGCTCACCAACCACCTCACTCACCCACGCGCCGCCACTAACCATGCAAATGACGCGTAAAATCAGAGCGCATGCGTGAAGGGATAGTAAGTTGCGCCCTCGTTGCCTTCCACCTTGTCCTTCTTCCCATGATGATCCCACATTACACTTGAACCGAGATTCTTTAGTTCTGGCCCTTCCTTCGTGCGCCTCGTGGTTTGCGAAAGCTAGCCCGGGTGCACTGGGTTGGGGCAGACTTTGGTTTCGATGCGCGAGTAGAAGATAGCTCTGATTTGCACAATATTGCACCAGTAAACCCATTTCGGATGTTATCAGTACTAACGGAGACCAACTAGTTCAACGTACAATAATGTAATATAGTAGTATCTAAACCGCTGGCACGATGCAAAACGAATGCCGAAAGAAAATTCATCGAAAACAAAACCTAGCTGTTATCTTTCGATCAGAACCACATCAGCGTCTGGTTTACTCTGATCATCTTCCCGTACCTCATCCGGCTGCTCTTTTGGCATTTCGGTCTTCTTTTCCGGTTCCTTGTACCAGACTTCACTTGGGTTTGCCAAGATACTCTTTTGCAGCGCGTCGCTGAACATCTGCATCACACTAGACGCGCTCGCATCTTTGACACGAGTCTTTCCCATGGTTGTGTAGTGCCTAACGAAGTTCCCGTTGCAATCCGATATATCCTTGTTGGTGGTACCAGGACGAGATAACATATCCTGGCGGAAACCGGGCCACCCTACCGCATCGTCGCAGGGTATCGTAACGATCGTTTCTGGCGTCTTGTTGAAGTCGTAGCGGATGTATTCTGAAAAGGCGCGCTGTTCGTGGCTCCATTCGTATCTCCATTTCGCGCATCCTTTGTAGCGTGTTTCGGATGTACAATCGCGCCACGCATCCAGTAGTTCCAAAGTCGTGGACGAGTTCTGCGCAACCACAAGGCCGGTATTGAGGACGCGCATGCCCTTGCTGTCCAGGCTAATCGAGCCTTCATCGCGGATTTCTTCGGTATCCCATGGAAGAGCTATGGATGTGTGCTGTTTGATGCCCCAGCGATTGAACATCCACTCGAAGGGGACGTCCGGATGCGCTATTGTAACGTCGGCATCCATTACAATCACGAACTGATATTCAGGTATCAGTTCGCGCAGAACGTGGGGTAATATCCACGTGTTGTAGTGGTCCTTCATGTCGAGCGCTTGATAGAACTTGTAGTCGTAGCCATGGACCATGGCGTACAGATAATGGTTCATGATTGAGTTGGAGACCAGGCCGGCGCCTGCGGTCTTGAGGTTGTCCCAATCTAAGCGTTCTGGGTTGAGAAGCTCGTTCTCGCCAGTCGGCACACGCGTGTCGACGTCCACTATCAGGACCGTTTTGCCCAGAGGCTTCGTCCAAATCGTCTCACTTCCACCCTCATAGTATGTACCGGACGGATCGACATATCCGGTCGCGCTCGGATCGTGTTTTATGGACGCAAACAAACTGGCAACCGTGTCTCGGAGGGTTGGGTTCGATGATCTACACTGATTGTTAGTGAAAGAAGCTCTACAGCAGGACCTGGATTGACATACGGACGTGTGATCCTCGCCACGACGAATACACCTTGGTCGCGGAATGCATAGAAAGAGAGTGTTGCCACTATTACGAAAGTGGCAATGGCCACAATATAGGTACGTTGCGCAGCGAGCATGATCAAAGGAGTGACAACCGGGGAGACAAGAATGATTGCCTGACCACGAAACCTACAAGACAACGAGTGTTCAGAGGAATTGGATGACGCAGGATAGCATTAGCGCTACGGGGAGCGAGTTTACTATCATCAATTCGTGCCATTACGCCGAGCTCTCCAGCAATGCGCGTCGCTGGTTCCAACCCTGCCATTTAGCGGAAAGATACACGGTCAATCCATGTGCTACGAGCTAGGCAAGCTCCCATCACAAGAGATATGATGAACACCGCCGGCCCGTACGGTACGCAAGCCGTTGCGTTTGAGGTTCCTCATGGTAGATTTGACGAGCGGTTTCCCAAGACCTGCAGGTAGCATCAAACTTGTCGACTCTACGATCGCATTGACACATCATTATGAGAATGAAACGCCTCGTTCACTCGCTTTGGGATTGTACGGCAGATCCCCAAGGAGGTCCGTGGTATGACCGTTTACTGATCGCGATCACGGACACACCAATCGTTGAGTTCTCGGCCCCATCCGGTTACGTGTAACGGCTTCGCGATTGTGGCTGACGACAAGTCTCATGGAAGCTACTAGTGTCGTCGACAGCGTTCTCATCTGATCTCAACAAGGTATGCAAATGGCTGTACATAGCTAGAACCAAGTACGATGCGCTCAACCCCTTCACACACCTGGGCAGATACACACGGTGGTGCTTTTGTCAGTATGAAACAGAGGCTTTATGTCGCAACTCCATCCCATTGCCATCATTTGAACACGCCCGAAACACGAATGTTAAAACAGTCTTTCCACCATAAATCGTGGCGGACTGTTGAACGTAGTATGATTACTTCGGTAGGAACGTGACGGAGAAGAGGCCGCGCCGCGGATGCGCAGTAGCGCCGATTGATAGATATATCCCGACGCTCCCGGCGCCTTATTTCCTAGTCAAACTCGACTTTATTAATCATGCGCACAATGCGCAACGCGTTCGTAGAGGTCAGTCTTTGACAAAGCTCCGCATACGCTTCTAGCATCGGTGTTGCAAGTTGTAGCACACTCAAACTAGCGAGGTGATGCTGAACTGAACGAACCGACGCTTAACTGTACAACAATTGCTATCTCGCGCGATGTTACAGATTGCTTTCACATGTAAACAACCACGTAAGGGCGCACGTAAGAATGATGGCATGTCAGCACTAGTGCGCGATGTTCAATCCCATTCGCAAGACACGGCAATTCGCCATTTTGCATCTACGACGATCACAATTGCGTACGCCGAGATAGTTCTGTCGCATTGCGTATACAGTATTGCGTATTCACGTACCTCTCATGGCGTTATAGCCCTCCCATTCTCTACTATTCAGACTCTATCCTCTTACTGTAAATACTACTGCACGTAGTACTCATCGAAGATGAACTGTCAGGATGACCACAAGTCCTTTTGGAATACTCGCCCCTGAATATATTGTTCGTTCGAAAAGGTGCCGTCCAATTTACCGAGATTGCTGTCTGACCAGAGTCTAGCATGATATCGTACGTGTTTGTGTGTTGAAGAAGGTAGGCGGGATGGAAGCTGGAGAAGCGCCAAGCATCTCGTGACCGAGGCAATTACATAATCACGTTCAAGCTTCCGATCTCCGCCCGCACTCGCTTTCGTTCTCGAGAGCGTGATCCAACCGCGCCACCCCAGCCCGCATTCATCCATCCACTCACGTACGGACGGGACGTGCATCTGAGCTCGCACGAATGCCTAGGTTTGGCTCCAAGAAGACGCGTTCGGGATGCGCACAGTGCAAAGCCAGACGCGTCAAGGTAGCTTCCCCTTCCAAGTCTGTCGCGTCAGCGTATACTCACCCACATTCAGTGCGATGAGAGTAGACCATGCGGCGCTTGCACTAAGTATCACGTCGAGTGCAGCCTTCTGGGGGTTGCAAGCCAAAGTCCAAGTCGTGTAGACACAACATCTCCACGTAACGATCCTACCCCAATGAACGCGTCAACACCCACGAATGGAAATGGAACAACGCCACTGGACACGGGTCTAATCCAAGAGGGGAGCGCATCTCCATTATTAGCAGGTGTCTCAGAAGAAGGCTGGATGCAGGACTTGGAACTGACGCACCATTATACCGCACATGCATATCAAACTATGCCGGGCACCGAGCACGTGAAGCAAATCTGGGGGCTCGCTGTTCCACAACAAGCCTTCAAGTATCCTTTCCTCTTACACAGCATACTAGCCTTTTCCGCGAACCATCTCGCTTACATCAACACTTCCAGGGCCACACACTTTCGTATGGCCGCCTCGACACATCAAAGCGCAGCACTGACAGGGCTCAACCAGGCCGTTGCCAACATTGGGCCTCTGAACTGCCATGCTATCTTCGCTGCAGCATCAATGACCGTTATCAACGCATTTGCTGACGCGCATGCGTACAACTTGGACGTTCTGGTGGAGATTCTGCAGCTAGCACGCGGCATGGATTATGTACTTACCAGTGTGACCGACATGCTGAGAAAAGGTCCCTTCGCAGCCATTGTCCGGCCTGCTGAAGAAATGCCTAAGCCACCGTCCTTGTTATCTGCCCTTCTCGTGGACATCCAAGCGCTGAGCTGTCCCACTTCTGCAAATCCATCGCCGGACGACATCAATGCGGCTAGGGCGGCTGAAGTACTCCGAAATGGTCTTCAGTATTCGTTGGAGACTTCTACTCATCCAGCCTTGCGAGCGACGATGATCTGGCCGATCGCCGTCGCGCCGGAGTTCATCGAAGCGCTCAAATCGAGGACACATCCTGGAACTAGGGCCATCTTCAAGCACTATTGTCAACTCATGGAGTATGCAAGTACTGACTTCTGGTTCTACACAGGATGGAGGGGCATCTCGCAACACTTGTGATGTGTTGTACATGGTAGTCTCCCACATGGTCTCCGCAACAAAGGAGCAAAAGCATCGATGAGTTAGTCTAACAAACTCTTTTTCGATGTCCAAGACTCTGACATCGACAGGTTTGCAGACTCAAAATGAGATGTGAAAGTACTCATATCACTACCCGCATTCCACTTGCGACTCAGCGTATGTCTACTGCTTTTCACTGCAGCGTCTCATTGCCACACTGCCGGCTGGGTCAGCCTCTGGAAGCTCATAGTGGCTTCCACTCTAGTAATTCGCAGTAGTGAATCAACATCACGAACGCATCGTGTGCATATAAGCTCCCTGGTGTTGTACCTTTCAACACTCACATCCATACACGACCACCCCCTACTTCTTCGCCCAACCAACCTGCGCTCTACAGCTACCCGACTACCAAAGTACAAGTTACTGCACCTAAATTCGAATATGTCAGGCGCATCCTTCTTCAAGGCTTTGGGCCTTGCACCAACGGCATCGGAAACTTCGGTTCGGTCGAGGTTCAAGATTTTAGCTCTAGCTTATCATCCCGACAAGACAAATGCAGTCAACAAAGCAGTAGCTACTTCCCGTTTTGTGGAAATACGACAAGCTTATGAATATTGCATGTCTCACCTCAGCCCGGAAGAAGAAGTGGAAGAAGACTACGAAGATGAGGATGATGATTCGGACTGGCGAGGCAAGCTTCCTGCCGGGATATTTGATGCGAACAGCGCATGGTGGAACGGACTACAGGGCGATGAGCCCATGGCTATCTTGAAATGGGCCGAGGCTTGTCAAAACGCCCAACGCTTCGCTGCCGTCAAGCTTGATGAGGCGGAGCAACGTAAGCTCAACGTCAGTTATCTTAAGGCCTACGAAAACTTCGAATACTGGCGTCGTAAGCATATTGAAAGATATGACGAAGAGGACCGCATACAGCAGGATATCAATGCTCTTCCAGAGCGTCTTCAGGTCCACGTCCGCCGCTCTCTCGAAGCTAAACGAGCCGAGCAGGATTATTGCTATGAACAATACCAGGAAGATCATGACGAGGAACAATACTTTTGGGAGCAAGAGGCCTTGGAAGATCCCGATTCCATACCTATGCCGACCGACACGTGGCGCTACCGTCACAATGCGGTAGAAAATAGCGCCACCCCCAAACAGCACCTCGTAAATTTCAGGATACAGTGCGCGGCAGTCGAGAAGCGCAACATAGAATGGAAGGAACAAGGCATCGAGTACTATCCTCAAGTGGAGATGGATCGCCGTGCCAGGAGGCGCAAAGCCACGGAAGCTAGGCTTCTCGAGGATGTTGCGCGCGCTGAGAAGCAGGCTCGCGAACTAAAGCTGATCAACATGGCCAACTCCGCGAAGCGTGTTGGCCACCTTGCCAAAGCAACCGCTACCGAGCTGATAGACGATGTCATACCTCAGTGCCTGGAAGATAGTCCCAAAGACGATGCTGTACCTCACAGTCTGGAAGACGGTGTTGAGGATGAGGCCGCATGATTCACTCTTTACTTAAACTATCAGCTATCGGATGTTGGGCATGATGGCAGCGATCTCTCATGAATTTCGCTCTAGCACTCATGGTTAGCCTTGCGTGCTCCAGACGGTAGGGTGGTAGACCTAATCAGAAAGCATCCATCAAGTCTTGCTGCATTACTTCAAGTTTGTCTTTCTGCCTTCTATTGCGATGAGTTTTACACGCGCTTTCTACTGTTCTATCAAGTCCAATCAGATCTCCTTTGTAGCATAATTTGCCCCAACACTGTCTATGCTGGAGTTACTCCCCACGCTGCTGGCCTCATGTCAAACTCCGAAACCTCCGAAACGATCTCCGCCGCCTTCGATCCATAGCACTGTCCCACAACCCATAGCGAAGTGTCGATACCCGAGCTAACTCCACCAGCGGTCACAATGCGCACACCCGCCTCGGTAGTGCCCGCATCCGACCATCGTTGCCTCACAACGTTGATTTTCGAATCACCGCCCGCAGCTTCATCAGCGAGCGTCTTCTGCAGGTCGAGCGACAGATGATGTGTTGTGACGGTACGGCCTGCAAGTACTCCAGAAGCCGCCAAGATGAGGCCTCCAGTGCAAACAGATTGCAGAAATCTCTTGCCCGTCTCTTCCCTTGGCTTCGTGTTCGAGAATCGTCGAATAAGCTCAGCCAACTCTTTGCCCTCTTTGCTGCTGATGAGTTGTTTGATGGTATCGTCGTGCGCGCCGGGAATGACCAGGATGTCGTATTCTTCAATGCGGCTGGACATTTCGGCGAAAGTGGCATTCGGCAAGTAGACCATGGCTTTGGAGATGGACGTGACGGGGCTCTGATGGGCGAAGGTAGTTACTGCGAAAGGAGCTGGTTTACTCATGTCCATTTCCATGTCGTGGTAGTGGCAGTATATCTCGGCTGGACCTGAGAAATCCAGGAGGTCGCCATCTGGGTAAATGTAAATTGCAACTTTGAACTGAGACATTGTTGTGTTTGGTATTGAGTGACTGTATGGCTTCATGGTTTTATATGTTCTTGCTTTTCCCTTTTATAACCACCGGCTCATCTCTAGTGTAGTGGTGTGCCTGATCTTTCGTACCACGATGTGCCCGGATCGGATGTAACTTTGTGTCCGGCTTCCGCGATCGTCAAAGAGTCCGCTCCGCATGTTGTACCACGAGCAAGTATGCACTGATTACTGTAGTCTAATACCATCGTGCGATGCGTAATTAGTTTTTCTTTGCAGAGCCGAAGACCAGATTCTAGTCATTCATGCACGTGTGAACATCGGGTGCTGCTGATGTCTGCTACACAAGCATAGTAAATGCGCATGACGAGGGCGCATGGTGATCGCGCTCAGACATGATTGTGTCGCACGGAAGATGCCTATATCAATACAGCGCCCATTGAGAGATGGTGTGATCGATTGAAATGAACGCGGTTGAAATAATTGGAGATTGCTGCGGCCTATGTCCCAAACCTAGCACCGAATTCTGCATGCACTGCCTCAACATGCCCTACTGTTCCTCTACCTGCCGTGTCGCAGATGCGGAGAAGCATGCACCGCTGTGTGGTACCTTGCAATACTTCGGACAGAACGCTCGCCCGTCCTGGTTATATTCTCGCTGTATTTACTTTCCAGTTGACTGCTCACAGCCACGTTTTGTTTGGCTGAAGTATTACGGATTACCTTGCCAGCGGCACATCGACCGCGAGGACCTAAGATTGTTCGTAACCGGTGTACCTTCCGGTGGGGACGCAACTTTTGACTGCTTCCGCGAAGGTAACAGGCAACTGCGTGATCGGATCACAGTTCGGCATGACGGTAACGCTCTTGGTAACAAGCAACCCTACAACCAATGTGTAATGGCATCACTTGGTCAGGTGGCTGGTGAGTATTGGAGAGGACCGCTGTTGGCTCAGTCTTACAGGTATCGCGTTGATGACGACCTGCATCGATGGCCTACGGGGGATCGAACCGAGGCGAGTGAAATCTTGATCCCCGTGGATCTCGATGCTACATCTCTGGCGCCGATTCTCTCATTCATGAAATGGAGGGCGACGTCGACGGATGACTATAACTTGACTATCGCTGCGGAGGACGCGACGCTTAGAGCGACTATCGTAGGGAGCCTTTCTCCAAAGAAAGCTTCACCGAAGAAGAAGAAGAAGTGAAATCCAGTCGATGGTATATCGGTCGAGACGGAGGATGAGACGGAGGGCGTTATTAGCTGCAGGAATACGCCTGCCGGCGGTTGGGCGAGGACCTGAACTAGCCGTCGGTCAGGAAGAGAGTGGATTACTGTACTTGGAATGGACATGATAAGCGTTTTCAATGGTGATGTTGCGCAGTAAAAGTCGCCTACAGTGTGGGGCCTGACGACGTGAAGGTCATCCTGATATTGCGCACGTAAGCTGACACTAATACTTTCAAATGTGATCGTCCTGCTTGTGATGTAGGATAGTCGATGTCTGCAATGTATGAGACGACAAAGACTAAAAGATTTCGCGAAAGACAAGTGGCGAACCATTGATGTCGCTGTGACGAGGGTTGTAAACTGATAAGTGTGCCTACCTCGAAGATGTAACATCTTGGCTTAGCACATATAGCGGAGCCTGCAAGCCGACTGCATATCGAAGCAGCTTATCTAGGCGCTAGAAATTGTTCTAGATGATCCTCACCCATTGTTATGGGTCGATAAGCCGTGGGTGTCGTTGCAGTGAGGCCTCGCGTACCTAGAATTGCCTGGTCGATCCGCAAATGCATGCAGATGGGACTTTCATGGCCCACCATCCAGGCAGACGGAACCCTTATGATTATAGTTTTTGGAGAACAAGTAAGCGACCCATTGGTAAGAAGGTACCTATGATCAGCATTGACTTCATAGAGACGAAGTGATGCCGTGTCATCTCCGAATGATCTTACCTGCCTCGTGTTGCAGTGGTGCGCATGCTGACACGATAACGAGCTTGGAAGTCTTCATCCTTCCCACATCCGAGTATTCTTGAGCCGACACTTGCCCTATGGCCTTATCATGTTCCTCATCTTAGCATACGCGATGGCAGCAAGCGCCCAGACGCGCTGCGCCGCTGGCCAAGCTTCGATGCACACGCGACGAAAGCACCAAGGCTTCGCACTCCTCTACACAAACGTGGATGATGATTCCCCACAGTGTTCTGTTATCCATGTCTGGTCCAATAGCGTGTCATGTCTCGAGTGGAGTGGTGTAGCCATGGCTTGGCAAAACGCTGCCGGTCAACCGACCCTTGTTCGGCCAAGACAGGACGAGACGGAACTCGGAACGCAACTTTGCTTGTAACCTTCCATTTCGTGCGATAGTCACCAGCGCCGCCAACAGTTCCAAGGGTCGAGTTCCAATGCCTGGGGAGATAGTCTGCACTACTGTCGGGCTTTCCGTCGCGACCTAGACTCAGACATGGCGAATCGATGCCCGCGGATCCAAGTGGCTTGTCCTTGTGATAGGCCGTGGAGACTGGGGTCGGG